GTCAACTGTTGGCAGCTGCGATGTACATATTTCTGTGCCGCATAGAAAATCGGCTTACTTCTACCATTTTATGATCGTAATGCAAACGGTTCTTTCCTCGTTTCTTCTATGTAATAGTCTTGTAGTCAGCTGAGGTATTTATTTGCACATATGAAAATTTGAAAATGTGTGTTTTTTTTCTGACGGAACAGGAGCGGCGGCTGACTGTGAAACATCCTCGCTCTTATCGCCGTGACTTTCCTGAAGTCTGTTTGCCAGTATCTGTCCTCTGCCCATGAAGAATGCAATAAAAAGCTCCTTGGACTCTCTGTTCTTCTTTCATCTTCATAGGCTGTTAACTTTTTCAAACAATGAGGTTCACGGAGCAGATGGTCGGCCATCCTCTTGTTTATTATCTGGAATCTCAAAATATGCGGAAACGTGTCAGGTTTCGCTAGTTTCTCGGGTTTATTATTAGGTTTCGGATTTGGACTGGAAAGTTGACTTAGTGAAAAATGTGTAGGCAGATAGTATTATTATCCACCAGGGTAACTTTGGGGATCGTATTTATGTTCTCTTCTCAAAGGGCTTGCTTTACTATTTCTGCTATCTCGAGAAAATTTGAGTGCACCACTCTTATTTATCATTTTTTTGTTGTTCTGTAGCACAAAGATGCACAAGAATTTTATTCAGAAGAATCTCCAAAAGTTCACAGAAACTCCACAAATTCTCCAAAAATTCTGAACAACAATTCAAAAAGAATTTTCTTGAAATATTCCGCGATATTTCGGAGTGTAACACCTTCGCCAGGAATGAAATATAATTGTCAATAAATTTGAATATTTATTAAACTCATCTAATTTGAATATTTATTAAATTCCTTTACTATTAAAATATTTTTAGGCTCGACGAAGGTGTTACACACCGAAACAAAATTTCAAAGAAATTTTTTGGATTGAGCTTTAGAGTTTTTGAAAAATTTGGAGTTTCTGTGAACTTTTGAAAATCTTGTAAAATAAAATTTTGCTGCCTCTTTGTGTTACACAACTCGTATAACTATTTTCTTTTATTCTCTCTGCCATTTTTGGGTGGTTTTTTCTATCATTTTGTAGTTATCTGTTGATTTTCGGTGCAGATGTAGTTGGAAGAGGAGGGGACAGTCGCAGTGTTTGCGTCATTCAGCGCAAAATGGGGAATCCTGAGCCAGCGAGAATTTAGGCAATTTAGGAGGGGTGAGGAGAGGGGCGAGTCCCTTAAAATGCGTAAAAAGCTGAAATGTGCGAGCTTGCACTTCCTCACTAAGAACAGCGCAAACATGTAGCGTGCCACGGCGGCGACTGCCCCCCCCCCCCCCCCTCCCGCAAATATGTCAATGCTGACTTTTCTTGTTTTATTGTACAATTTCGCGCAGTTTGGCCGTACTCCTATTGTATCGCGTTGAACGATTTTTTTTTCACTTGCATCAAGAGTCTGATCAATGAAGAAATTTTGCAGGCGATATGGTGAATAACTTAGCGAACGGTGTCAACATTTCGACAGTCAAAAGCAAGGATGAATTGCCTAATTCGATCATCGTTACACAGGTGCCTGAGGAAGTGAGTTGTTTGGCCTTTTTGTTTGCAATGTTTCCGCCAACGGATCTTCTACTATTGAATATTAGGCTTCTTAAACAAGGTTAGTGGCCTTTTCTTGGGGACCTCCCTGTAAACAAAGAGAAAAAAGCCTGTGATATAATAAAAAGGATAAAGGATAAAGCATTTGCCGTTGATCAATCCCTTTTTGGGATGCGGCACGCATTCTACTTCCATTTGTACATTCGTAGTGGCGTTTGAATGCGATGTGGCCTATACAATGACTTGCGGGGCCAGCCAAGTCAGTGTAGACAAGTATGGTACCAATTAACCGACTCCGGAGGGATAGAAGGCTTGGTAGGCCTGGACGAAGCACGACCCAGGATTCGATCCCCAGACGAGCACGTGGTAAGCGTGCCACTTACCCTACACCACTTCCATCCTTCGTGATATAATAATAGAAGCATTAACTTCGTGTAAGGAGGCCACTTTGACCTGATCTTTTAAACGCCGCTTGTTTTTTTCCTTCCAATCAGGGCTAGTAAAGCTTTGCTGAAAGAAAACGTTGAGTGCTTTTAATGATGGTGTGGGTGGCTTATTTATTTTTATTTGTAAATTGATTGTGTAGGTATAGTTGGCCACCTGCACTGACTCTGAAGACCCGAGAACAGCGTAGCCGGAAGCTTTTGCTTTTTTTCTTTTTTCCCAGGTCACATCCCATCTCCAGATTCATTAAGAACGCTCGTACACACCCATTTTATCCCAGAACTTGTCTTCAACCTTCTGCGGATCGATATAATGCACGAATATCGCATTATTTTTTTCTGAGTTAGGCCGCGGTCAAACAGCGATCGCCTCACAGCGCGAGTGTAGATAGGGTTCGTATTGACTGTGCGGTCCTAAGATCTGCTCCACACTTTAATTGCAAATGAAATGTAAGGTAGTTACAAGCTAGGACTGTTACCTTCTCGTAATCTTCAAACAGTTTTGTCAATAGGACATATTTAATTGTTCTTGGATCCCAAAACGACCATGGCATTTCTGGCAAAAGATAATTTGTATGGATCGAAGAATACAATTTTCCAATGTAACCCGGTGCAAAATTCATCGCACGATCCACAAAAGGTTAAGCAGTCTGTTAAGTTTTTGAACTAGCTATGATTCAACTAAAGCGGTCTGAAATTCGTTCAATTTAACAAACTTTCAGGTTGGCCACTACATAGGAGTCCACTTACTTGGTCTTCAATGTATACTTTCTTTCTGGTTTAGGTATTCACAAATCCCGAGCACAAAGAGAACTTTTGTCAGTTGTTCACGCAGATCGAGGAGAACATTCATTTCGATTTCTTGAAAAGCTTCCGACGCGTTCGAGTTATTTTTAGGCAAGTCTGTTGTTACATATCTCAAATTGTTTGTCGTTCCATTCATCACTTTTTTAGCACTCCCGAAAGTGCGACAGCTGCGAAACTTATCGTACAAGGCTTCTCTTTCCATGGACATGAAATGAAGGCATTTCTTGCGCAGGTACTTCGAGTTTTTTTTGCAATATTTTCACCTTTACATTTTTTTATGCCGGCTTAGGTTTGCTGCAGTAAATTGATAAGACAACTTTCGACCTCTTTTTCGTCGTTGTTGACATGATAGTTCATGAAAACGGGCACTCCATGCAGTATTCGCTGCCGAGCAGTTTGTTGACCATGCTGTCTGCTTTCTAGGAACTCTTATTTTCTGATCTCTTTCAAATAAAGCCTTCGTATATGCTTTTGTTGACCGAGGAATGAACTTCTGAAATGCTCGTGAAGGAATAGGTTTTCCAATGACGGCATTTTCACTTCAATCAACGGCTCATTTTCAGCGAGTCATTCTTCGACGATCCTCACAGTTACTGTCACCGCCCCCTCTTGAAAAACAATTTCTTATCTCACCACCGTGCTCTCCACCAATGGGTTGGTCCCAAACAAGGGTTCGTTTTCGTTTTTTTTTTTCATGATCCGTTTGTTAATTTTAGAGTCTTGCTTATTTTGATTCATAGGAAATGGCACCGGTTATTTGTAATTTCGATTTGATGGCACGGCTGGCATCGTTTGCTCTGGAGGACAAGTAAGCGCAAATCTTGTCTTTATTCTTACATACCGAGATTTTCTTTTACTAACATTAATTTGATTCAACTTGCCCCGTATGTACCGTGAGAAATGGGTCGCAGAAGTACACATTATCGTGCACGAAGAAATAATTTTATTTCAACTTTTCACTTCTAGTATTCCCAACCTTCTTTTCTTAAAGAAGTTCAGGGCACGTATATCCACTGTAAATAGAGTGGGGTTTTTTGTCATCTTTAGTCAGTGATATCTTTATTTGGAATCGGGTACCCTTTTTTTCGAGCTTGGGATGAGTGTTTCGAAAGACCCTTCTTGAGCATGTGCTTCATAACAGCCGATGACACCTGAAATCATTTCTGAGAGCTGTTTCTCATGTACTGTGTAGTATGAAACACCAGTTATTTTGTCATATAAGTTCATTCTTTGATTCTGATTTTGAAATTTCGATCTCAATCTCTTGTTGGAATGATTTCCACCACCTGCTTCACTTGAAGGCAGCTCACTCGATAAACTGATACTGAGAAATTGTGCAAGCATAGGTGCCAAATTACAGAAATTGGAGGAACGGTATCCTCATTCCGCCATTAGGTATTGGGAGTAGACCAATTTAACGCTAACTTGAAGATTGTTCGGGTGAAGTCAAACACTGGCATTATATAATAGAAACGTTAATTTATGGGCAATTGCTGTTTTAATTGCCGGGCCAGGTGTAGAGTACATTTATAAAGTAAGGTCAAAGGCGCAACAGTTTTAATTCAATGCATTTTTTGCCTTTGTCACCCTTTCCACATGGTGCCAGTGGGTGTGTTCGAGAACCTGAAACTTTTGAGACACCTCTGGCCTGCTACCAGCCTTTCGCTAGGCTATCCCTTACCGTCCGGAACCACCTTTAACACATTGGCGACAATGTCGCCCGATGCCGGGCGACACCCCTTGAATTTTATTCCTTTGCGCATATTCCAAATTTTGAGCGGTGCTATATTAACCCGGAATACGTTGTCAAACTTGTAATGGCCACGTTCTTTGAACATCTTTCACAGTGAAAGTTTTACAGAAGGGTTGCTTGGAATTGCTTCTTCAGTGATAAGGTTGTTCTTTCTTGATGTAGAAAGCTGCCTTTTTGTATGCTATTAGCTAGCTCAATGATACAACAATTGGCAAAAAAGAGATTTGTGTTCAACCTCATTTGTGGATTCTACAGTGGAAAATTGGAATTTTCCGAGAGCGTTCCGAAGTTTCACCTTTGCGGGACGGGGAGATTTTTGCTTGGTTTGCAGCCATTAAGCATTTGTACGAGACAAATGATGTTTCAGCAGTTTCCGCATTGTGTTCTCATTGATTTGGTATGTACACCGTATGGAAGCGTTTCAGCATTAGGACGCAATTTTCGGGAACACCCAAAAACTGCTTGGTCGCCAATGTGTTAATGAATGTTCATTATTTTCGGGATTCAGGTCTCAAAGGCAGATAATCTGCTATTTGAAAGATGCCATTGTAATGCAGTCGGCTTCAGGTACGAAGTATACAACGGTGATGAAAGCAAACCAGCAATCGTCGTGCATCCATGCGAGACTCCACTGGACGCCCCGTCCAGCATAGAAATGCCGCGCACACCGAGGCCATCGTCTCCTCCATGATCACATCAAGAAAGAGAAAGACTTCGAAACGATAATATTTCAGCTCCTCATAGCTACGCATGCATATGAGGGAGAATTTTTTTTTATTTTCACTGATCGGTGGCCCTAGTCAACTTTATGTTTATATTTCGCCAAGGTATTCAACTCACTCCACCTGTTTCGAAATTTTCGCACTTCTCTCCTGTCATATTTACCGAATAGTTCTACTGCTGGTATCAAGAATGTGGTGGAGTAAAAGATTGTGTAATTAAACGTCATATATTTTCCTTCGAACTCCGACCTAGTCGTATATGTAAAATATTCCGTCGTTTTGTCTACCTCCTTGTTTAGATCGTTCAAGGGTCAATGATGCACATCTGTTCCCTTCGTGCAAGCTGCTAATGTAAGAGTGAGCAATCTTCCTCAGCTTCGATTCTATTCCTATTCATTGTTTTTAAGAAATGCATAACAACATTATTTTATAATCGAGCGTCCATTATTTTCATTTGACGCCCTTTCATATTTCGGTGGTATTTTACCGCCTCACTTACGTTAGCGGGAAAGCATACGAACTCTCATCTTTTATTTATCTTGATGACTGAAAAAGCTTTATTGTGACACATTTAACGAATGGCAGATGAAATAAATAATACATTCTCTTGAACTTCAATAGTTAGTATTTTTGAGAATCTCGATTACACTTATCACAGGTAATGAAGCAATACATCATTCTTGACCCGCTCCCTTTCGCATTTATAATACAGATTAATAAATGCTAAATCACATACTTAAAGCCCATTAAGCAAAACTACTAAAGGAGAACATTATAGAATTTCTGCCGTGGCTAGATTGCAGAAATCAGCCCGGAAATAGATCGAGGTCAAACCATAAACGGACCACTTTCGCAAAAACAGTTACTCTTGCGGACGGGAGGAATCGCATCACGAATCGTTTCCGCTTCAGCATCTCATTTTTGCTTATTTTTACTGTAATGTCAATATTTAAATGAGAAATGCGTTGTGGTCGAGGTAGTACTCAATAAATCTTTCTTGAAGTGATAGTCAGTACAAAGTTTTCTGTTGCAATGAAAGGAAGTAAAACTAAAAGAAGTACTACCTTACTGTTTGTAACACCCGTGTGCTCAATAGACTGAATGTTTCCAAACGGATCAGCTTACTGGTAAAACACCTACTGCCTTTGTGCTCAATATTCCAGTTCATTCTTTTCAGCTTACTCAACTGCGGATAATTACGTCATACCAAAAGCTCTAGCACCTCAAATCCTAATAATTCATCAGATAAAGGATTAAGCTCTCAATGTTCGTCAATCACGTATTGGGATACGCCACGCATTCTACTTCCACTCAGATCGTAGTGAAGAATTCGAACGCGATTGACCACCCAATGACTTGTGAGGCCCTGCCGATGTACAACCCAGTTTATCCTTCGTATGTCCAGACGATGCACAACTCAGAATTTCCCAGGACTGCGCGCGTGAAGAACAGCGCCACTTCCCACTGCATCACTTTTACCCTTGGTAGGTTTGAAGTAGTGATTTTAACATTCGAGGGAGTTCTGCTCTTCTTTATCGCGAGGGAGAAGTGGTAAATGGGAGGTAAATTGCGCAACAAGCGAACCGTGAGGTCACGTCTCCCTTGCATACATTAAGACGATGTCATTGAACTGATTGTTTACGATTGTACTACTGTTACTAATACTAATTGTTTCAGTGTGCAGAACATTATGTATATAGTACATTTCCTTCATTACTGACAGCAATGGATTTTGAACCAGTGCTGTCAAAATTACAGCAACTGCAGTATGCACTACCTCCCGTCGGTGGGTTGCCTTCATTCCTCACGTTCCGTGCTTTTACTTCTCAATGAGTAGTCAAAACTTTCCAACTCTTGTCTTGAGATTTGAATTTTTTTCCTAGATATACTTATAGATGATTGGGGTAAAAGTAGGAAGGACGGAGGCTGTAAGTCGAAAGCAATCCTTGAACTACTCTTCAGGATAGTAAGTCAGAAATTGTTGCTAATTTTTGTAGCTAACAGAACAATGTTCTTATAGACAAGACAAATGCCTGATTTGCGTTGGTAATCGTTGTATAACCTGTATTTCGTTATAGTTTTGGAAACAGTACCTGTACAAATTCAAGGTAAATAGCCAAGAGTATGACTAGGCCTGCCCAGACGTATTCCACTGTGAAAGGTTTTGAGAATAGAATGAAGGAAAGTGTAATAGTGAGAGCTTTACGCAGTGTCGTGACCGTAACCGCAACAAGTGCTCCACACACCTAGATTCAATTCAAATAGAAATTTACAAACGTGAATTAGCGATGAAGCGCATACCTTGATTAGAGTGAGCACAACATTTACGCCAAGATATCCGAAAATAGCGAAAATTAAAGCGTATCCGTAAGTTTTGTATGGATTCTGCAAGCATGAGATTGGCTCTACTCCAGAAAGGTTAATTTATTATTTGAAGACAGATTACCTCTAGGAAAAACTTGAATGCGGTGAAAAATTCGCCAGAAACGATCGTATACACTAGCAAGTATACGGATTCTATGGAGTAAGAATACAGAACCTTAAGTGAAAGGAATTTTTGATTCCTGAAAACGCTACGATGTAGAAATGAGCCTCACCATTTCATTGCTCGATCCACCATATTTCTTCATATTTTTCTCTTGAATGTTACCTATTACGGCATCCGCCAAAAGGGCGCCGGAGATCATAATATACCCTCTAGGATCGAAATTCGGAGATACACTGCTGTCAGCCAAAGTGAACATAATGAGTCCTAAAATTTGATACTATTTCTGAAAAGACCGATGAAGAGTAAACCTTAGCTTAATACGCAGACCCACCTATGCTCATAAGCACAGCCGCAAGATAAATCTATCCATCCATATCGTTTTCCTTGAATAATTATTCCACCAATCAGAACTGGTACAAGCTTACAGCATTTGAAAATTACCTGTAATCAATTATTATTCAATTCCCCTAATTTCTTTTCGAGAAGTTCTCATGAAATGAACTCTGTACAAATGGTAAACCCCTACAAATTTGATCGAAGAAAACTTTTCCAAACTTCGTGAACCAACTTTTCTGGTGCCCTTAAGCCCCTTCTCAGGCCCTCGACAACCGCAATAGATCGTGGGCGTTAACAATGGCACTAGAAAATGACCTATATTTGTTGTCGGTAAATAAATTTTCAAAGGAGCGGAATGGCAAAAAGTAAGCTGAAACAAAGCTCCAAGGTCTAGAGAATCAACACTTCAGGTGTGAATTCACGGTAAATAAATGAACTGCCATGTCCAAACGATTGAGGACATGTAGTGCTACCTCGCTATTTTGACACTTTAGTAAAAAGAAAAGCGCGAATATGCGACGCCAAAATGAGTGTAAGCTGTGTGAATTATTGTATACACACCTGTGTGGGATAATTGAGGTATCCAACAGAAGCATTGGAAAGACCCATGGTTGTGACAGTGAAGAATGCGAGCAGAAGATAAATCTTTAGCGGGATTCTAAAGTATTCAACTAAGGGAACATAATGCGAAACAAAGGGAGTGAACGAAGTTCGTTACCTTCGCGTCGTGTCATGATACAACGATCCTTCCGCATAACCACAGAAGCTATATACTATGAATTGAAATAGTGTTAAATACATTCCATACGGTTTCATACCAGGCAATTTGAAGATGAGTTCCTGCAAGAGCTACAGATACAGTGGATAGAGGTTCATTGCAGTGTACACTAAAACACACTTAATGCTGAACAATGAATATCAACCCTTTCTAGAATCTCTTTCTACTTTCTTTCTTGGCTTATCTTTAGATTTCAGCTCATCATGTAAATCCCTCTCATCAGAATCCGTCAGCCGCATCCTCTGGCTAGTACTTCTGAAGCTACATGGATACCTATACAAAATGACTTGCAGGCGCCAGCCCGATGTACAAATCTGTCTTTTGCCCTCCAGACGAGTAGGTAGCAATTTACCGACCGCAGAGGGATGGAAGATTCGGCATTCCCAGAGATTAGCCCCAGACCATGGGCGTGGCGTGGTGTGCCACTTGCAACTATCACCACCACCTCTGACCTTTTGTGAAACATGCAATTGGGAAATGCCGCCACTTACCAGGAAATGCTTCCAAATTCCTATGGAACTATGAATGGGAACTGGGATGAATGAAATAATAAATGCCAGTTACAAATATTGAGACCAAAACTGCTACGTGAACATTCCATGCAAATCGTGGGCGGTCAAAGTAGACAGGGAGGGTAGCATCAGTATAGGAAAAGAGCTAATCTAACCGCATCACGCATCAGGGTTTTTTTTTTCTGAAACACTACCTATAGCGGTAAGCAAAGGACCTAGTCACGAATATTTATATGACATTCATTTTCGAGATAGGGCCAATGTGGCACCAGTTGGTGCGGCAACTCACTTTTAGTGCATTTCTTGACAATTTTGACAGTTCACACCTTGTGAACAAAGGTCAATTTTGGCCTACGCATCGTGAAATGAATATGTGAATAGTACTTAGTACTCCATCGATTTGTCTGGGTCGCCATCCAAAGTTCCATGGGGAGTTGGAAGCATTCCCTGGTTAGGGCTTGGGCTGCTGAAGAGCTCACATCCTCCCTACAGCTTGATGACAAAGTAAATGCACATTTGTCGGGACCATGAAATACTATATGACTGTCAATGTCCTGCGTACTTCCAAAAGCAAGATAAAATTAAGACGTTCTCGGTTACAGGGAGCGCTAGCTTCAGCGCCACATCGCATTGAATACTATTACACTTGGACTAGGACCGATATAGGTGAGTCATGAAGAGAGGGCTGTAAAAAAAGAAAACCAGACAACCCATAGAAAAGTGATGCGGGAGAGGAATGCAAACCACGCGGACATTAGTGATGAAAATGACTAAAAATGCGTTTCCGCGTGAAATGAGCCGAAACAGGTATAGGAGAGAACTCGGCCAGAATCCAATGGTGTAAAAGTGCTAGCCTTGAGCAACCTCCCGCATCAAAAAGCTGACCACATGTTGAACAAAGGTGTTAGCGATCGCTCCAAAAGCTTCGCTTCAGCAATGGCCAATACATAGAAGTGATCCGGAGTATTATAACAGAATGTTGATAAAAAGGACGCGTAATGGTAACGAAATGGCAAAGTTTACCGGAATTCGTTGCAGTGAACATCTACGCATTTTCTTAATTGTTTCAAAAAGACATATGTTTTGTTTTTACTCCTAGTATTCGTTTTATGGAAATGTTCGAGAGAATGAAAAGAAAAAAATTAACCAAATCAAAAATTTAGTATGACTCAGAAAACCTCTTGCAAAGCATGACACTTTTGATCTCTTAGTGGACCATGTCGTTTGACTTATATGTTACAGAATAGTTATTTCACTGATAGCGAACAATTCAACAAAATCGTGATTCTGGTAAATAGCAGGCAACTAATAACCGGCATCCATCTTGACTCCATGGTCCCACGAGCACGCGTCCCTGGCAGCCCAATGTGCTGGCATAGGCATTAATGTGTTAGAGAACTTGACTGTAACTCTCAAATCCTTTCGTCTCACCGTCCATTTCACATATCACTCGAGACAAGACCTGCTTTAGATTGTTTAAGAAAAGTGAATTACCAACGCTTACTAGGTGCAAATCTAAGAATAAAGTGCAAATTACACTCACCTGCATGTAACCGTACCCAATATAAAATACAAAAACAGCGAGTCAAAGCAGTGTAAATTGAATCCATAAAGGCCTGCAAAATGAACGAAGTCAACAAAAATCAACCAAACAAAAGCGATTGGCAATGAAACCTCGGTGAATAACACCATTTATTGAAAACTATTTCAACGAGTCCAATCTGTCAGCAGAAAGCGACTTTCCGCACGTACCAGATTTTTAAGGGTTTGACACATTAACGATAAAGAAGTTCTGATCAGGGCATACAAAACGTATGTAAGACCAATTGCAGAATGCGGTGTGTCAGTTTTTTGCCCTTGTAAGAATAAAGACGTTGAATTACTGGAAAAAATTCAGGATAATTATACCCGTAAAATATATATTAAGTCGGGGCAGGTAGAGTTCTCTAGTGTGCCTCGCCCAGCCTCTAGGAACCAAAGTTTTAAACTTCATAGCCTTAAATCACGTAGGAAAGTGTATGATGTTTGCATGGTTTTTAAGATACTAACTGGGATTTCTAAAAAATTGATGCGTCCAAATTCTTCAGTAGGATCGAATCTAGAACCAGGGGTGGTTCGGTGAAAATTTCATATGCAACGCCTCGAACCAATTTGAAGCTTCACAGTTTCACCTGTAGAGCAGGCTCAGTTTTTATCTCCCTTAAATCAAAAGTTGCACTACTTTCTCCTGCTTTTATGCACTTTAAACGCCTTGCGAAGAAAGAACTGTTGAGTTTTGCTTAGTGTATGATGATTTAGTATAGCACATTGTTGTTTTCTTTTCCCACGTCTACCTTATGTAGCACGTTATGAATAAATAAAGTAATAAGATTAAATAAAACAAAGATTCGGCCTACATACGATTTATAGGGAGGATACTCGGTTCTTTGACCCTTAAAATCCAGACCGTTCAATTTCTGCAATGCAGCGGACTTGCCGGCCGTCTGAGATAAAAAAAACAGCTATCTGATTGGTTATTTAAATATCCTTTTCAGCGTCCCCAAGGTGATTTCATGCTTTTGTGCTGTTTGTGTTCACATTTGCAATGGCGCAACATGATACCACTGGCTTATAAAAACGCGCTGCTTGGGCTAAAGTGACGCCCCATAAAATCACTTCGTGATATGATTCATATCCATCTCTAATTCTCGGTGTGATACTACGCTTTTACTTCGCAGCTCCTCTTAGATTGCACAGCAAGTTTTTGGACATACAATTTCTATCGTCGTGTGCTCCATGTCAAATCTTAGAGGTTAGCGGTGACTTGCTCGCATCAATTGCCCGGGGAGAACGATCCTTTAACACATTGACGACCGCGCGCGTTTTGGCTTTTTTGGCCGTGTGGGACCGGGCCGATTTTGCGAGTGCGACCGCCGCACCTCGGATCCGTGAATTTTTATTGATAACTTTTTAAAGCACCAGTGGTACAAAAACATCTCAGTAACAGTCAATGCGTAGAAGGTAATAGAGTATATAGTGACGAAGTTCCGATTAAAGAACATGTAATGGTAATGAAAAAGGGAAACTTTAGTCATTTTATCTGTAGTGGATGCCAAAAGCTCTTTTGATGTGGTTATACCAAGTGAAACATGTATTTTTCTGTCTCTTTAGATTTGCATTTACTTTCACTACCCTTTTTTATTGACGTGTTCATGAGAATAGCATGAAAACTATTAATGAACCAAGCCGCCGGTTTCGGTGAGCTTGGAAAACTTCTTCTAAACTGGAGCATATTTGAACAAACAATGACCTATGTCGTTCACAATAATGTTATGTTCTAATCCATAGAAGAGAGACAAACAATTCGGGAAAAAGCTGCGCATGCCCTAGAAAAAGGGATGATAAGGGTGAGACGCGGTAACGCGTCTCAATGTCCAACGAGGTGCGCAAAGTGAGACGCGTTACCGCGTCTCAATGTCGTCAATGTGTTAAACCGTTTAATGATACATCTGGATCGACGCTAGGCGTAAGACGTCAGCATCGAACATATCATATAAAACACGCCATGCACTTATTTTCCCAACGGCCATCAACATCTTACATACTATAAAGCGCTTCGTCTGTCGTTCTGTCCCTCTGTCGTTCTGTATGTCTGTCACGAAATTCCCTAGCTCCTCGGGATCCGCCTGGAGGGACCGGGTCAAGTGTGGGATGGGTGGGCAGGGTCTCACGTAATACAAAACACACATCAGCTAAGCGGAGCCCCGCCCACAGAGGGCGTGGCGTGCGTCGAAATGAATTGTACCAAAGACCAAGATTTCGATTTCAGTGAAAAAACGACCTCGAAACTGGGCCAAAAAGTGGGTAAGGTGTGCATTGGTAAGTCACATCGAATTAGGGAGACCCACCCCCGGTGGGCGGGGCGTTCTCTAAAAAAAGCAGTGCTTTATGAAAAATTTCATAACTCGGTTGGGAGAAAGCCTACAGAGCAGAAAACAATTGGTGTAAGGGAGCAATGTCTAAGGTGTTTCCCGCATACATGACGTGGGCGGAGGCCTGCCCAGAATGGGCGGGGCGCGCTCTGAAGTGTACAGCATTTTCTACAAGCCCTCATAATTCGGGTCGGGGAAGTCCTAAAGAGCCGGAAAAAGGTGGATAGAGGTAGGATGGGTGGAGGAGTGGAGGTTAATTGTCATTGGTGGGCGGGGCCTGACCAAAGTGGGCGGAGCGTAATAACAGTACACAGAAAACATTATATAACTCGACATATAATTACAGGACGCGCTCCATGATTCTCACCATATACTATAGCGACCCTTCGTCTGTCGCTTCCCGTACATGATCCCCGTCCAACTAGCAAGAACAAAACTCAACAACCTCGTATACGATTCTGTCCCTCTGTCGTTCTGTATGTCTGTCACGAAATTCCCTAGCTCCTCGGGATCCGCCTGGAGGGACCGGGTCAAGTGTGGGATGGGTGGGCAGGGTCTCACGTAATACAAAACACACATCAGCTAAGCGGAGAGTGACCCGAAGCAGCCCCGCCC